ATAAAACTGGAAATGTTAAGTGCAAATAAAACAAAATCAACAAAATTTCATACACTATAAAACTGTGTTAAAATTAATTTGAAAGTTTAAAAGAAAATTAATGCATCAGTTACTTGAAAAGTCACCATGCCATTCTCGCTCCCATGGTAATCCAGTAGAAAGCATCATGGTCTTCCCATGAATAATTTCTCAAAATCAGTAAGGAGTACAGAGTGAATCAAACACAAAAGAAAAGTGGACACCACAACTCAAGATTGGTTATCAGTAGGCAACTAACGTTACAATTTTCTTGTGTGTACTTCCAGATACTTTATACTTATGAGAATATTTCATATGTATGCCTTATTTTATGCTTTAGTGAGCTTTAACGTATATTCTATCTGTAACTGTTAGTATATGTTAACATAAGGCATTCTGCAAGCATTTAAACCTTATGTATGTATGGTATATGTATTTATAATATATAAAAATGTTTTAATGGTTTTAGAGTAAAACACTACTTTTTATTTTATAGCATACATACAAGAAAATGCCATCTTAAATTTATAATTTAATGCATTTTGATAAGTGTGTACATAAATGTAACTACCATGACATCCAAGCTAGAAAAAATTTCCATCACCCCTGAAAGTTTCTCGCCTACTATAGGCAACTGTTATTTTGATTTTTACCACTATAGTTTAGTTTTGTCTTTTTCTTGGACCTTGTAATAATGAAATTAAATGTATCAAGTATGTTTTATCTGACTTTGTTCAATATATTTTTGAGATTCACCAATGTTACTCCATGTATTTGCAGCTCATTCTTTTTCACTGGTCCACATTATATTATTGCATAACTACAGAGTATTTATTTAAATCTATTTTTCTGCTGATGGACATTTAGGTTGTTTTCAGTTCTCACTGTTATGAATAAAGCCATATAAATGGTCTGGGATATTTTTGTGGACCTATGCTTTCATTTCTGTTTGTTAAATGAGTGTGTACATAAGTATATGCATATATATATAATATATATAAAGAGACACATATACATACATTTCTTTCATTCTCAGGACGGAGAGATTCCTTATCAATTTTAAACCATAGTGCAAATTCAACTTTATATTTCAAGTTGTTAGAAAATTTTTTTTTCACACACTAAGATCAGTCACATCAGGATACATCTTAAAATTCAAGGTTGGTATGTGTAATAGTTTAATTGGTAGTTTTTTACTTCTTAGAAGTTTATAACATAATGGTAAATTGTACAACTAGAATTATATTACATTACATAAAACATCAGTTTCATGGTATCTTGTAGGATAAATTTACCATAATTTATTAAACCAATGAGGATGAAAAAATCTCAAATTAAAGTGAGAATGACTAATATTTATTGAATATATACATGACAGTTGACTTCAACATATTTATTATACTATGATACTTAATCTTTACAATAACACACATTAATTTTCATTCTACACATGAGTAAAATGTGGCCCAGAAAGGTAGTGAACCAAACCAGGTTGACAAAGTTAGTAAGTGATAGAACTAAAATTTAAACTTTGTTTCTAGTTCCAGTCTTTAAACTACACTAGCACTATTTAAAACCTGTTTACAATATATAATTCCAAGAGATTCTTGTAAGTATGGAAAGATGCAGTTCTATACTCAAATAACATATTACTTAAGAAGGTTTTTTCATTGCAAGACTTGTTAGAGTTTTCAAAGTGTTTTCATCAAAAGAACCTTCAAGAAAAATATAAATTATACAAAATTTCTCAGTTTTATTTTACCTCAGAATTATTTTTTCCCTAAGCATATCTTGGAATATATATTAAATAGCACACTCTTTGAATATGTCCTAAAGCACATTATCTCCCAAATTTGGGAAGAAATAAAATTCAGAAGAGGATTAAACTTGTTAAATTATATAAACCAGAAAAATTCCTCTTATTATAAATGCATAATTCAATACACAATAATACTATATATAACACATATTTCTTGGAATGGCAGGCTAGGTTTATCAGATCTACTTTTCCACTGAAAATAGGATATATATATATATACACACACACATACACACACATATATGAACGAGATAGTTACAAACTACTAGGACAAAAATATAAAGAAGAGCAGAAACTATACTTTTAAGTGGAGCACAGGATGCAAAATGACATTTGACACAAAAGTCATTGACAATTCCTAGAAAGTTTGGGCTGGGTTTGATGACTTGTAAGTTTTACAAAATAAAAAGACAACCTAGTCTCAGGGTCCATAGACAAAATGTAAGTGATTTGTGAAATTGGATGGGGAAAAAATTACTCGAGTTTCAAAATATTTCTGTACCTCTTATAATATATTTAAAATATAATTTTAATGACAAATAATAAAAATAAAATTTTCATTCAGAGAGTATAAGCTTCAATAGGCTTCAAAAGGGTCTATAGCACAAAAAAATTAGAATGCCTTAATTCCCAACTAAATTGTAAAACTCATTTTAAGTTTGGATAGCAAATGGCTACAGCCTCAGAGTAAAGGTTAACCAGAAATAACGACCCCAATGGCCTCTACCAGAACTCAAGACATTGTAGAGATATTTTCTGAGTATACACTAAACATCCAAAAATAAAAACAAAAGCAGAAGACCTCACCCCTGTGACATTAAAACTTTGGCTGTTCATCACTTAAATTTGCAGATTGAGTTTTCAACATTGGACACTCCACCGAAGCCTCTATGCTTGAATTTGTTTTAAGTTTGTGCCATATTGGTACAGCACTGTGTTCCTGACAGAAGCAAAAACAAATATACTCTGGAAGAAGTCATCTGTATTTTAAGCATCATGGAATACCCATGAATAATTTTTCAAAAGCAATAAGGAGTACAGAGTCAAAGTAATCAAACACAAAAGAAAGGTAGAAACCATAACTTATTTAACATACAAAAATCAATTCCAAGTGGGTTGAAAAATCTAAGTGTAAAAGTCAAAACTCCAAAATGCTTAGAAGATGATTTGGACTAATATCTGCATGATCTTAGACTAGGATTTCCTTGAATAATACGTAAAAAGCTTTGACTTGAAAAAATAATAAGAACCCTTGTGCATCAAAAGGCAATATAAATAGATTAAAAATAAAAGGCATAAATGTAAAAAAAATTAGTTAAATATATGACTGATTTAGAACTAGTATTCATACTATACAAGAAATTCCTAAAAATCAATGTGAGAAAAGACAAATGACTCATTAGAAAATCAGAACAAAGATACAGTCAATTTGCAAAAGTGGAACTCAAAATGCCAAAAAACCACATGAAAAAATTTTCAACATCAGTAATAATCAGGGAAATTTAAATTAAAACCACAATAAGACATTGCTACATAGTATGGGGATTGTCAATACTTTAAAAGTCTAACAATGTCAAGTGGTAGGAAGAAAATGGAGCAACTTGAATATTCCTACACTGTTATGTCACTGTAAATTCATGTCATTACTTTGGAACATAATGTGGCATTATCAAATAATGTCAACGACAGATATACCATATACTTATCAGTTCTGCTGATAGGTATGCCTTACAGAAACTCACACAGGACATATGTACAAGGATGTTTTTAGGAGTATTCAAAATAACAAAAAATGTAATGAATGGTATTGGACAATGGTATAGCAAAATGGATGAAAGCCACAAATTACCCTGAGCAAAAACGGTAACAACAAGGATGAAGATAACAAGTAATGTTGAACAAAGGCAGCAACATACATATATTAACTCAGTTTAATTTCAATTAACAAGCATGCAAAATTAAATTATATCTTTAGGCATGCATACATATGGAACACTACAGTTAAAATTAAAAAGAAAAGGAAATTAGCACCACAAAAGCCCAGGTAGTAGAGGGCATAAAGTATTATTCAGGAGAGCACAGGGAGACCATCTGAAACGCCGGGCATGTCTATGTGTGGAGTGAGTGAAGGTGACACAGATGTTTCCTCATGATCATTTATGAAAAAAAACCCACATATTAAGTTTGTACACTCTTACGTATGCATTATTCAAAATGAAAAAGGGAACACAGGAAATGGAGTATATAACATACACTAGCAATAGGTAAGTATTTTTTAAAAGAAGTGTTACAATTATATTCATTGACAGAACATCAATTAGGAAGAACAGAAGAATGCCTGAAATTATTTTCATGCTTATAATTTTTTGAAAAAAATTAATATGTAACAGAAAAAAAGAGATAAAAATTATATATAGTAGCTTTTGGATACCTTCATTTGTCCTTGACCATGCCTTTTCTCTGAGAGCCTTTACTTCCTGACATGTTAAACCTATAAAAGGTAAAATAAAATAAGTAAAATATTTGCTTCCTGAGTCAAATACTCTGCCCTATATTGCACTAGTAAGGGTACAGGAAGAAAATAAGCATTAGAATAAAGACATATATGCTAAATTACATAAGAAAGGACTGAGGGGGTAAGTAGAAGAGAAAGACAAAGTTTGATGGTGTTTCTCTGCAAAAGGGTGTTTGACAGAAAACACTGTGGAAGGAAATGGGAGGTCATCTTGGGTGACATTCTGGGATGATAAATAGATTCACAATTTTAATAGAAGCTTTCTGTGTAATTTCTCGGTTTAGTGTACAAAAGAACTTAAATAAAGGTTTAATCTAATTTCCAACGTTATATTATATATGGATTTTAAAAATCCAACAGTATGGTAAGATTGGCCTTGTGACATAGCCCAGTTTATTGAAAAAACACAATACATGAAGAAAGATAAATGCAATTATTTATGCATGTCATAACTGCATCTCTAGAAAATCCTCAGTACAAAATCAAACTGATTAAAGAGAGTTTACATATATGTCACAAATAATATAGCATGATTTTTATAAAAGACAGCATTGACAACACCAATGACATAAAAATAAACCCTAAAGACATATCGCTATAGTTACAAAAGTATAATCTACGTAGGAACATATTTAATAATTATATCTAGGCTTTAAAAAAATTGTGGTAGTATAAAATGTTACTAGAACATAAAAAAATGTTGAAACAAACAAGAATGTAAATTATGGTTCACATTAGGAATATAAACATTGTAAAAGTATCTCTTTTTTCCAGTTTAAAAACCCATAAAAATATTAGGCCTATTTTATTTGTGACTCAATAATTATTTTTAAATTTTAAAAATGAGCAATAATATCAAAAAATCTAAAAATCATGGCAAATATGTGCACGTGTTTGTAGTGGAGAGAGGGCCTTGTCCTTTAAATATCTGAATATGTCTAATATTCTAAGGATATATTTCAAAGACTGTTGCAAGAAATAAATGTGTAGATCAATGAAAAGAAACAGTTTCTTCTCTATACAAAAACAGACATATGAAAATAAATTATATTCCATAAGATACGATACCCACAAAAATTAAAAATTGTAAAAAGCTATCAGATAATTTTACAAATATTTTAGGTATCTCAAAGAATTCTTTTAAAGAATTTAGATTCACACTAGAAAATCTACAATTTACAATTATAAAATTGAGATTTGTGCTAATAGGAAATCATCATACGAAATGCAAAAACAGAATATCCCAAAGTTCAGCATTCATAATGATTTTCCTAAATTACCAAGATAAATTATGACTTCTCTCTCCTTCAACACACAAGTTGCATGAGGGCAGGGAGTATATCTACTTACAGCCACTGTATTTTTGGCAAGTAGCAAAGAACCCCAGACATAGTAAGTGTTAATACATATTTATTGAATGAAAAATACAGTAACAAGAGGAATGAGGGAACACATTAGAGTGAAATAATGACCACACCAAGAATACAAGCATACTTCCGAGATATTGTAAGTTCAGTTCTAGACAACTGCAATAAAGTGAGTCATACAAAGTGTTTGGTCTCCAAAAGCATAGAAAAGTTATATTTATACTATACTGTAGTCTATGAAGTATGTGATATTATATCTAAAACAATAAAATATTTCTAAACATTGTCTAAATATTGTTTAGGTCTAAACCATAAAAAGATACTTTAATTAAAAATATTTCAGTTTTAAAAAGTTAATGATTGGCCAAGGTGGGTGGATCACCTGAGGTCAGGAGTTTGAGACCAGGCTGACCAACAAGGTGAATCTCTGTCTTTACTAAAAATGCAAAAATTAGCTGGGCTAATTTAGCTGGTGGCAGGCACCTATAGTCCCAGCTACACGGGAGGCTGAGACAGGAGAATTGCTTGAACCCAGGAGGCGGAGGTTGCACTGAGCCTAGATCATGCCATTGCACTCCAGCCTGGGCAATGGAGCAAGACTGTCTTAAAAAAAAAAAAAAAAGAAAAGAAAAGAAAAAAAAAGTTAATGATCATGTGAGCCTTCAGCAAGTCATAATCTTTTCACCGATGGAGGGTCTTGTCTTAATGTTGATGGCTGCTGACTGATCAAGGTGGTGGTTGCCAAAGGTGGGAGTGTCTGTGGCTATTTCTCAAAGTAGGACAATGAAGTTTTCCTCATGGATTAACTCTTCCTTTTACAAAAGATTTCTTTGTAGCATGTGATGCTGTTTGATAGCATATTATGCAGAGTAGAACTTCTTTCAAAATGGAAGCCAATTCTCTCAAACCCTGTTGTTAATTTATCAATTATGTTTATGCAGTATTCTAAATCTTTTGTTGTCATTTCAACAATGTCTACAGTATCTTCAACAGGAATAGAGTTCATCTTATGAAACCACTTTTTTTGCCCATTCCCAAGAAGCAACTTATCATCCATGAAACTTTTATCATGAGATTGCAGCAATTCAGTCACATATTCAGGCTCCACTTCAAATTCCAGTTCTCTTGCTCTTTCCACTTCTTCAGTAACTTCCTCCACTGAAGCCTTGAATCCCTCAAAGTCATCCAGGAGAGTTGAAAGCAACTTCTTTCAAATTCCTGTTAATGGTATTTTGACCTTCTCTCATGAATCATGAATATTCTCAATGGTATACACTTTCCTCAAGGTTTTTTATTTATTCTACCCAGATCCATCACAGGAGTCACTATCTATGGTAGCTATAGCTTTATGAAATGCATTTCTTAACTAATAAAACTTGAAAGTTAAAATTACTCCTTGATCCACAGGCTGCAGAGTGGATATTGTGTTAGCAGGTATGAAAACAACATTAATTCCCTTGTACATCTCCATTTCAGCTCTTGGATGTATATGTTGTCAGAGGAAGTAATATTTTAAAGAAATCTTTTTTTTTTTTTTTTTTTTTTGAGCAGTAGGTCTCAACAGTGGGCTTAAAACATTCGGTAAACCAAGGTACAAACAGATGTACTATCATTTAGGCTTTGTTGGTTCATTTATAGCACACAGGCTGAGGAGATTTAACATAATTCTTAAAGGCCCTAGGATTTTGGGGAAGGTAAATAAGCATTAACTTCAGTCACCAGTTGCATTAGTTTCTGACAAAAAGACTCAGCTTGTCCTTTCAAGCTTTGAAACCAGGCATTTATTTCTCCTCCCTAGCAATAAAAGTTCTAGATGGCATCTTCTTCTGATAAAAGGCTGTTTTGCCTACATTGAAAATCTGTTGTTCAGCACGTCCACCTTCATCAATTAACTTAGCCAGATTTTCTGGATAACTTGCTGCTTCACTGTGTACTTTTATTCTATGGAGATGACTTTTTTCCTTAGACTTCATGAACCAGCTTCTGCAAACTTCCAACTTTCCTTCTGCAGCCTCTTCACCTCTCTTAGCCTTTACAGAATTGAATAGAGTTAGGGCCTTGCTCTTGATTAAGCTTTTGTTTAAGGGATTGTTGTGTCTGGTTTGATATTCTATGCGGACCACTAAAACTTTCTTCATATCAGCAACAAGGGTATTTTATTTTCTTATCATTCATATGTTCACTGGAGTAGCACTTTTAATTTCCTTCAAGAACTTTTCCTTTGCATTTACAACTTGGCTAACAGCTCGGCACAAGAGACTATGCCTTCAGTCTATCTCAGCTTTCAACATGCCTTTCTCACTAAGTTTAACTATTTCTAGCTTTTGATTTAAAGTGAGAGACACAAAATTCTTCCTTCCCCTTGAACTCTTAGAGGGCATTGTAAGGTTACTAATGGCCTAAGTACAATATTGTTGTGTCTCAGGGAACAAAGAGGCTACAGGAGAGAGAAAGAGATGTGGGGCACAGACAGTGGAACAGTAAGAACACATGCAACATTTATTGATTAAGTTAGTGTCATATGTGTGTAGTTCATGTACAACAAAACAATTACAATAGTAACAACAAACACCACTGATCACAGGTCACCATAACAGATAGAAAAATAATGAAAAAGTTTTTGAAATATTGCAGGAAATATTAAAATGTCACACACATACATGAAGGTTTTCTATATGTTGTTAGAAAAATGCTGCCAATAGACTTGCTGGAAGCAGGGTTGCCACAAACCTCAAATTAAAACAAAACAAAACAAAACAAAACACAGGATCTGTAAAGTGCAATAAAGTGAAGTGCCATAAAATGAGATGTGCCTATAGTCAGTTTCTACAAAGAGCTGCACAAGAAACAGACCCTGAAAAACATTGGTTCAAATAAATTCATGCTCTAATTCATGTTTCTGCCTTGGTGGATAACTGTATTGTTACACAATATTCCAGGAACAAAATTCCAACAGCATGTGCTCATCAAAACCACTCTATCAGCAAACAAATTTTCTAATGTAAATTCCTGATGAACTCCAGAATTTAAAATTTTTCAAAAGATACTAAAATTATAAAAGTTAACATGATATATATAACATTTAATGATGCATTTAGATTTAATAATTTAACAATATATGAAACATGGTAATTTTATCTTCTTTGACTCAAGATAGAAATTCATAAGGTAGATGAGCAATTATTTTCACTAAATATGACACAAAAAGAAATAATTTATAAAGGTTTCAGGTTTTATTTATATAAGTTGCAAATATTAACTATTAATAATCCATCATCAGAAGGTCCACATGAGAGAAGATTAAATAATTAAATGAACACATGGAAATTATTTATATTCTTTGGTAATAAAAATGTAAAGTAGAGCAATTGTGGTCATTTTCTATTTAATAAACTAGCTATTTAATAATAATCAAATAAAATCTGGTATTAATATGTTGTGGTAATAGTGATACACAGTTGAATGTGAGGTACATTTGTGGAAAACAATATAAAATAAATATTGAAGGCCACACAAATGTTCACAGCCTGTGTCCCCCAAATTCCAATTCTGAATACTTAACTTGAAACAAAAACCGATAAAAGACAAAAGTTAAAAAGAGATATCAAA